TCCCCCTGGTGCAAACCTGAGCTTGGTCCCTGCTTTCCCGGGCAGTTTTCCTCCCTTAGGTGTTGGCACTGTGGAGCAGTGGGTCAGGGTCAGCAGGCAATCTCCTCCAGCGTCCCCAGCGTGGCCTGCAGGGGCACAGTGTGGCTGATGGGCTCCGAGTGGTTTGCCATGGGGTCACAAGTGCTCTGCAGATGGAGAGCGAGGCACAGGGTTACCCCAAGCCTAGGGGATGCTTCCCTGACCCTCCCCAACCTCTAGCTCCTTCCTCTGGTCGAGCCACAGGGTCAGCAAATCCTTTGGGAAGGAACTCAAGTGTCCGGAGGGAGCGAGTGGCTACGGAGCCAAGCGTAGGGGAATCTCCTCTTGTCTCCCCATGGGGCTCCTTACCACATTCTCGTCATGGCTCCCTTCCTCTTCCTCCTTTCCCAGTAGGTCTAATAATTTCTCCTTGATCAGCTGCAAGAGAGGGAGTTGGAGGTTAAGGTGGGAAGGGCAGGGAAAGGATCTGCATTGCCTCTGTGGGCAGATCCAAGCTCATCCAGCAGGGCTTGGGGCACAGCCCAGGGGTGGGATGGGTGTGGGGGACACACTCCCAAGGGAAGGGAGAAGGAGACACAAAGGTGCTCCAAGCGTTAATTAGCACAGAATCACAGGATCAATCAGGATGGAAAAGGTCTCTGAGATACCTAACACCACCATGGCACTTGGTGCCACTTTCAGGCTCTCCTTGAACACCTCCAGGTGTGCTGACTCCACTGAGCAACACATTCCAGTGCCTACTCACCCTTCCTGGGAAGAAATCCCTCCTAAAATGAGCTGCTATCACTAATTTAAGTTAATTATCCAGGTGGGCATGGAGGGTCCAGCCCTGGCAAAGCCAGAGCAGAGGAATGAGCTGGGTGAGGACCTTACCTCGTATATATAATCGAAGAGCTCTAGGATAGTGAGGATGCTAGCACCGATAAACAGCCCCATCTGACCTCCAATGTCACCTGAGAGAGAGAACAACACGTGGGTGGCTTTGACTCCAGGGCTAAGTGCTCCTAGAGGCCCCACTGTGACCGTGGTGCAGCTGCCCTGGGGGCTGCAAGCCCCAAAGGGTGGGAAGATACACCCCCAGAAGCACCAGTGGCTTCAAGGCCATCAACAGCATCCCAGGAAGGATGAGGTTGGCTACCAGCACAGGCTCCAAAGTGTCCCCTGGTCCCTCCTTACCAAGTAAGGCTGCCACTTCATAGGCTTTCTTCTGCTCAATGGTCTCATAGTTGAGTGCTTCAAAAAATATGTCCAGCACAAGAATATTCTCTCTGGAGAAAGAGAACAACAGCATCAGCCCAACAGCCACCAGCGGCCTCAGAACCCCTTCCAGTGCCTAAAGGGGCTCCAGGAGAGCTGCAGAGGGACTTGGGACAAGAGATGGAGGGACAAGACACAGGGAATGGCTTCCCACTGCCAGAGGGCAGGGAGAGATGGGATATTGGGAAAGAATTCCTACCCTTCCCTGGAGGTCACACCTGATGGACTGCCCAGTGAAGGTTTTAGCTCTGCAGACACTTTCTCCCCATGGAAATCAGTTTTGTGCAACACTCACGAGATATATTTTTCTGACTTGTTGAACTTCTTCTCCAGGTACTTGGCCGAGGTCTTGCTGGGGATCTTGACCATGGAGAGCTCTTTGTTGTACCTGGTCAGGTTGCAGGGTGTCCTGCAGATGCAGTAATTGCTGTCCTTTTCAGCAAGCAAACCTGGAGAAGGGCACAGGGTTAGACCTCTACTAACCTACAGTTACCAACAGCTGCCTGGGGAACAGGTGATTGAACCTCCTAAATTTAGACCTACAATGGGTCCTTCCATCCCCAACCCAGACCCAGAGGTGCTCCTGAGTTGCCCAAGACCCCCAACCTGAGGGTTTCTGTGCTGATGGAGCTCCATGCCCCATGTAGAACCAGCAGTAACTTTATCCCAGGGTTCATCCAGCCCTTCCCAACAAGTTGGGTCTCATCAAACCCCATCTCAGGGCTGCAGCTGCTCCAGATCCCCCAAGTCCTGCCAGCCAGGAGGACACAGGGAGCTGGATGTCCCTCCAGCCTGGGAAACCTGTGCTACTCAGGGATCTCTCTTGGCACTCACCAAGTGCAGGCTCTGCACACTCCTTGTACTGCTCTGGGGTGCAGAATGGAGCATCTCCTGCAGGGAAAGGACATCCATCAGTAGACATCAGCCACCACTCTGCCAGGCTCAGGGGTGACCTCAGGACTCTCTCCAACTCCCTGCCAGGGTTGGAGAGAGGAGAGGGATGTGTGTCCTGCCAGGGCTGCAGGGAGAGGACTAGAGGGAATGGCCTTGAGCTGAGCCAGGGCAGACTCAGATTGGATGTGAGGAGAAATGTTTTCCCTCTCAGGGTGTTCAGGAACTGGGATATTGCCCAGGGAGGTGGTGGAGTCACCATCCCTGGAGGTGTTTAGAGGTGTCTGGATGTGACACTGGAGGGGAGGATCTGGGGTTTCTGGCAGTGACACGTTCATGGTTGGACTCAATGATCTTAGAGGTCTCTTCCAGCCCTGCAGATCCTCTGCTTCTCTTCCCACCTCCTTTAGCCCCAGGTCCCTTTCCAGTCCCTTGATGCCCAGCCCGGGGAGGTGTCCAGCCCCTCCCAGCACTGACCTGGCATGTGGACCATCCTGCAGTTGCAGTTCTCCACGATGTAGCGCGTCTCGCAGTCGATCCTGCAGGCTGTGATGCTGTAAACGGGAAAGAAGTCTAAGCCCATATCCGACGAGCGACATTCACCCCACGGCGGGGGCAGGTAGGTCAGCTGCAAGAGAGGGAGGAGTGGGGGGTCAGGGGACACTGGGGACAGCTGCAGCATCTCCCTCCTCTGGCCACAGAGGAGCTCCTGGAGCACAGTCTGTGGGGTTTGTGTCAGGACGGACCAAGCAAGGGAAGGGAATGATTCACAGTTTCATAGCGTGTTAAGGGTTGGGATGGAGCTTAGAGATGATCCAGCCCCAGCCCCTGCCCTGGGCAGGGACACCTCCCACCAGAGCAGGTTGCTCAAGGCTTTGAACACTGCCAGGGTTGGGGCAGTCACAGCCTCTCTGGGCAACGTGGGCACATGACACCCACACTCAGGGAGAGCCCTGGGGACCTGGATCCACATTATCCACTCTCCAGGCATCCCATGAAGATGAGGAACCTCTTCCTCTCCCTCCTTTGCCCAGCACCTGGTGTGAGGCTCAGGAGTTGCTGTGCTCAATGCAAACTCTCTGCTCTCACCTCTTCCTTTAACTCCAACCCAAAGCTAAGACAAACAGGACTCCACAACCTCCTCAGAAACCTTCAGGAAGAGCCCACAACGTGCTGGAGGTAAACCAGTCATTCTCTGGCCTTCATGGCCAAATCTACCCTGTTCCTCCTCTACCTTGATCCTCCACCTTGTTCCTCTTCTACCTTGTTCTTCTACCTCTACCTTGTTCCTCCTGTGTCTGCAGCTTGGCAGCTTTTCCCCTCCCTCTTCAGCTTTGCTAAACACTCTGCACTACTCTTGGAGAGAGCAAAAAATAGCATCCCCTGAGCCTCCCTCGTGTTGTAGAGCAGCAGCCAATTTGCTGTGCTTTGCTCCAAACACAGAACGTTGTGTGCTGGCAAAGCACAAACATTCCTGGAACAAATGGAGTAACATTCAGCAAGGCCTGAAATAAAGAAGTAAACATATGTTGGATGGAGTGTGAGCCCAGGACCTATGGCAAGGCTTGGGTTGGGCTTCTCCTGGGAAAGGGAGGAGAAAAGAGATGGGCCATGAAGTAGAGGCATGTTGCAGGTAAGTAACAATCCCAGGAATCATAGAATTTTAGCAGTTGGAATGGACCTTACAGATCATCTAGTCCCAACCCTCTACCACGGGCAGGGACACCTGAGGTCCCATCTGAGGAGCAAAAAACATTACAGAGTCACAGAATCAATCAGGCTGGAAAAGACCTCTGAGATGATCAACTCCAACCTGTGACCTAACACCACCTTGGCAACCAGAGCATGGCACTGAGTGCCACGTCCAGCTGAACTCCTCCAGGAGTGGTGACTCCACCACCTCCCTGGGCAGCACATCCCAGTGCCTGAGGCTGGAGGAGCAGAGAGTGTCAGGCAGGTGTGGAGGTACAGCAGGAGCTGTTGGATCCACCTGCAGCTCCCAGCTGAGGCATTCCAGGCAAACCCACCCAACTCCAGGAACTGAGCTGCAAGAAACAAAGCCTGGAACCCCTAGGAATGAAAACATTGCAGGGAGTGTTTGTGACAATAGCAAAGAGCTGTTTGAAGAGATCTTTTCTCATTTGCTTTCCACTTGTGCTATAATAGAGCAGCAGATGCCACCGTTTAGTCATGGGTGGCAGAGACAGGGGCCCATATGCTGCACATTGCACGATGCAGGAGGATAAATCAGTGCAGGCTCAGATGGGATCAGCTCCTTCCCAAGCACAGCCACACACAAAGCCTTTAAGCCCTTGGAATTTCCCTGGGCAGGTGGGTGATGGGATGAGTGCAGAGGGGATGGGAGGTTCAGCTCACACAGCCAGGGCTGGATGGGAGCCACGGCCTCGTGAACTGGCACAGCACCCACAGCAGGGCACGGGCTGAATGATTAATGAGAGCCTAATCAATGCAGATTCATTAGGAGGGTTACAGCCAGTTCTGTAGCTCAGACCATAAGCACTGGCTGTGCCCACAGCCTCGAGCAGAGCTCTTGGCATTGGGACCCCCAAACTGGGATTTGCTGCCTGCAGATAACCAGTGCAGGGAAATAAAGGCTCAAACAGCAACTCAGTTGAGACCTTAGACATCAGAATTTCCTACCAAAGCCACTGGAACACCGAGAAGAGCTCAGTGAGGAGACAGCAAACAGGAGCACACAGGATGGAGCAGCCCCACAGCTCACAGCCATGTAAATAACCTTAATGAGAGAGGCACTAATTGGGTTTGGTTCCCCTCCCGTGCAGACACACAGGCTCTTCTCATCTCCAGAGGATCATTTTGCTTCCAGATGATGCTAATTAGGGGTTGGGAATGGGATCTGGTGCTGGACCAGTGCATGCTGCCCAAGGCTGCTGAGCTGCTCCCCCCAAACCTGCTCTGCTGCCTCCAAAGGGTAAATAAAGCACCTAAAAGCAGAAGAAAAAGCAGGAACAGCTCCTTCCTTCAGTTCCTGCTGTGGCAGCTCTCCAAGGGCACCAACTCCTCCCTGGCACTGAGCTGTCTCGTGCTTGTAGAAACCCAAGCTCAGCCTCTAATTGAGGCTGACAAACTCACCTCCTTGCACTTCTGCAATCATTAATAATTAATTAATGACTTAAATGCCTTTTAAACCCTCCTGATCCTGGCTAGGAGGGATTCCCACAATCAGCTTCCAACTGGCAGGAGCCAAGAGGCACAGGAACAAATTGACTTGTCTCCTTGAATGCAGGATGGATCTTGCTTGCTTCAAAGGCAAGGAAAAGGGAATGTTCTTGGGGAACATGGGAGGAAGGAGGTCGCAGTGATGGGGAATGATCAGCACATCCTCACCCCCCTCAGCCCTTTCCCTGCCCCTCACACCCTGCTCCTGGCACGGAGCCTCCTGCTCACTGCCACTGTCTCCCTGCAGCCAGGGAAGGCTTCTCCTGGATCCCTTTGGAGTGGCAGCTCTGATTTTCCTGCAGCTTTCATTTTATGCAACAGGGAAATGTGGCACAGCTTGCCCAGGGAGGCTGTGGATGTCCCAGGGAGGCTGTGGATGCTCCAGGCCTGGCAGTGTTCACAGCCAGGTTGGATAAAGCCTTGAGCAACCTGCTCTGGTGGGAGGTGTCCCTGCCAGGGCAC